ATTATTACAAATTGTATTTACAAAATCATCGCTCCTGGCTTTTATAGCATTCGCTGGCTGGCGGTTACTTCACTTCCCCCGACTCGCAATTTGGCGGGGCAAGGCTCACGTGGTGGGGAAGTGACGTAACGGCTGGGCGTGGCGGGCTTGACAGCCGGCTTAACGGCTAGCTAGCGATATCTAGCGTTACAGTACTTACAGCAAAAAAGAATTAATTGAGTAAAATAAATAATTTGGTCTACAGAAGAAATACCTAAGTACTTTATTACAAACATTAGTTAAAATTTACTTCACTATCCAAGTATTTACTTACGTACATACCTATACTTGTATTTTGTAATTAAAATATTATAAGTTATAACAACACAAAATAATGAAATTAAAACTTTGTATACTAAGAAGATTTTTAAGTAAGTAGAATAGATCACATTTCTGTTAGGAATCGTATTTCAGGTTTATTTGTTGTTTACACTATCTACCTATTTCCTCCGAACCAAGCGTTGCGATTCACGACGAATGACCTTGCAATTTGCATGCGTTAGGCATGCAAACACATAGACAAACACATACGCAGAACTCACATAGGGGCGAAAGTATGGTCATTCGATCATAGTCGGAATAGGTACTTCACCTGAGTAACATAACTAACATTTCGCAATGTATTTTTTTACTTTCTATTGACATCCCTTAATAACTACGGAAAGTCCGCAGTGACTTAGGAAGCGGAAAAGATGCAAAGTAATATGGACACTAACGCGCAGCGATAAAGTTTTATTTAACTTGCGTGCGCGATTTATCTGATTAATAATGATTATGTAGGCTATTAAACGTCGGCAAGCAGTTGACATCAAAGGAGTGCAACTTCTGTACGTAGTACCTTTATTTATTCTGTGACGTTAGCTAGGAATTGCATACAATTCCTAAATTTCAAATATGTCAAGTCAAATATAAAAATAGTATAAAAAAATTGTAGAAAAATATACACAATATTGGGAACTAGGTCTCAGGAGTAAACAGAGATTTTTTTTATTCTTGTTATATTTAGGGATTTTTGTTCGTTAATATGTCAATCCCATTAAAGCTAACTTAAAATCTATACGAGTACATATGTTATTAATCTGCACATACTTAACATAAAAAATATCCGAGGTGGGGTCATGTAGGATGCCCTGCGCAATACCTATATTGTACACATTTATATTATATGTCCTTACCTTAATTCTCTTGCCCCTCGGTTCCGCTCACATTCCATTAAAAAATGATGTAAGTCTTCAAATACTCCACAAATTTCACAGTTAGGTGAATCAGTTCTTTTCATCAAATAATAAAAAAAATTGAAGGAATCTGTCCTGTTCTTATTCTAAATATTAATTTAATAGTATTTCTATTTAATTTTGTATCTATAAACCAAGGTATTCGAGGCGGTTCACTCTATATTGTTTTTTACCTTTCGTTTTAGAACGTTCATTAAAAAATTCTTTCCATTTATTATGACATGAATTTTTGAATTTTGGTAATACTTCTGAGTAGCAAGGGTCAATATTATACTCTACACCGTTTATACAAGCAGAATTCGCTAATCTATCTGCCTCCTCGTTACTCAATAAACCAATGTATGCTGGAATCCATTGCACTCTTACACAGATGCCGCATAGACTGAACTGACTTATTTGGGAAAGTATGTTATAGGCTATCGAAACACCTCTGATTCCAGAGGCGGATCGAGCCAAATGTTGGATAGCAGTTTTGCTGTCCGAGTATATAATAATTTTGTTTCAGTTAAGTCAGTCAGTCAGCCGCAAGCTATGGCTTATCTTAGGGCTTCGGATATTGCAATTAGTTCAAGGGTCATAATACAAACGTCATTCGTAACTTTATAAGATCTAGAAACTGCTTGAGATGGGTTGAAAAAAGCTGCCCCTTGCAATTTAGTACTCTTTGATCCGTCTGTGTAGATTTTATGCCAATTGTGATATTTATTTTCAAGTTCTTCGATAATATTGACTTTAAGAGAATTTATTACATAGAATTTCTTGGATTGTGTAACAGACTCTAATTCACTTAATAATATATTTTCAATGTCAATGTGAGACAGCCAAGTGCTAAGTGAAAATGATTCGAGAAAAGGAGATGAATGTATTTTCATAACTTTAATCTTATTATAAGATTTAACTAAGAGTGCGTTGCCAGTATCTTGTTTCACAGAGAGTGCTAAGTTGCTTCAACAAATCAATTGCAACATTATTCGAAAAAGAGCTGGCTTTTAAAACTTATTTATAAGCTAGATATAATCTTCTAATATACAATGGAGGTACGTAAACGGAGATGTTTATAAATAAACCACTTCATAGGAAGCAACCACTTATCGCGATATCCTGACTAAAAAATGTTAACCTTCTTAGAATGAGAGGGTCTGCCCACAGAGAGCGAGAGAGAAATACATAGGTTAAGCTTCAAGTAGGTACTCGGAGTGTTAACTCCATCTTTACCTATAACTTCATGGTCACTCCACTCTTAGATAAGAGTGTTGTGTAATGATATATATATATATAACATATTATATATTATTTGCAAAAGCGACGCATAGATATGCGAGATAATATATAATTCGAGACTGTTCACTGTTTACAGCCTTAAACCGAGAGAGTCTCTTAGAGAAAAATTTAAAGAAATAAATATATTAACTTTGGTCTCTCAGTATATCTATAAAAATTTGATGTATGTTCTCAAAAATAAAGGTAGTTTTAAAAAAAAGTGGCATACACTCTGTAAACACTAGGGACAAACACAAACTGGTGCTACCAGTTTCTCGTCTCCACAGAGTCAGTTCAATTCATTCTTGGGGCAATGTATACGCTATTACAACAAAGTCCCAGAAAATATACAAGTTCTCTCTATTACCAAGTTTAAATATTTAATTAAACAAAAACTGTATAAAAAGGGTTATTATGATATAAATGAATACATGGTTGATAATAACCCCTGGGAATGAGGTGGTCGCTTCCAAGCTGTTTCTAAATAAATTTTGTAAATATTTTGTGACCCTTGACATTGTAAAATTTATTTAAAAAAAAGTCCCGCTGGGTTTCTTGCTGGTTCTTCGCAGTACAGAGGGTTTTTTTTTCGAACCAGTGGTAACGTAAAATATTGACTTTCAATAAGAATTACTTGTAATCCATATTGAATAAAAATTATTCTATTCTATTCAGTTCATACGCATGCTTAATGTTCATACTTGCTAATGCGTGCTCTACTATAGCTTGTTTATACGTTCAGGAAGTTGGCACCCGGAAATAATTATTTAAAAAGCGACTATTATAAATTAATTGCGCGTAAAAAATGATGTTTATCGGTACTAATTATATGTTTGCGCGTCAAATATTTGTTTGGATATTAAAAAAAAAAAATAAGGCGGGTGCTGTCAAATAATAAATTATTACTTTGTTCTTAAAAAATGACGTTAAAAGAATAATTAAGAAATGTAAATTTGTAGATTTTCACATGCGCAATCAGCACCTGATATTAGTTTACCCATAAGTTATTTATTTACATCGTAAATAAATAATTAAATGATCCCATAACCTCACCCGCAGCGTCTGCTCGAGGGTGCAACTTTCCTAGTACGCTAGCGCTTTTTTCTTTAGTTGGCAGCATTCTACGACCGTTCGTGAAGGAGAACAAGCCAATCATCAATAGAGATGGTTATGTTATTGTATATTTACTAAAAGTGATGATCATATTCTAGCAGTTTCAATGACACTGCGAGATATATCTTTTAACCAGTGTACGTTTGTCATTAGTCGATCTGAGGACGTAGCGGATGCGCGGAAGGGTGTGTGGAGTACAGGAGGTGAAATATAATATGAAAATATCGCTTGGTCGATCGAAAAAATATTTATAGTTTGAGATGTAATATATATTACATCTCTATATACTCTATATACTATCGGTGGAAACGGTTGCATTTAAAAGTATTGTGAGCGATATTAATTTATATCTCGAGATGTAATATAAATTATATTATATCCCATAGTGGAAAGTGGGCTATACTCTAAGTGTGGAACGTTGTACCTCGGTGTCTATTTTATTTTTATTTCTAAATATTTAATAACAACAGACTAATACTGACCGTTTCGCTGACCCCTTAAATCAATCAGATGGCGAAGTTAAATTTGTTAATTTAATTTACGTTTTAAAATTACTACAATAATATTACACCATAGATAAATAAATATGTACACGTAACAAAAATATTCATATTTTAAGTTACGGTTTATAGAAATGAATTAATATTTATAATATATATCATACTAAAATTCATTTAAAGTTTACTATTTATTTAGGCTTAATGTAAGATAAGAAGTAATTAACGCATAAATTAAGAGTTTGATTTATGCATAAATTAATTTTAATATTTTTTTTCAATTTTGTACTGGCCACTTTTTCACCGATACGTGGCATAGTTACGAACAACTTCCACGTTCGCCGCCATTTTGACATACAGTGAATTGTAGAGACACTATTGAATTGTAGCGTTTTTCGTCGTATTTCATACATTTACTTCTGAAAACGTAAGTATAACCCTGTATTTGTAAACTTCTTCTATGCCGCAAATTTGTAGGTGTCTTAAGTGAAGATTTTTAATATCGTAAACCCTGGGTGGTGACCGTTGTGGAGGTATCAACAGCAGTACCTATCTTAGTCTAAAACCTTTGAAATTAAATTTATTTCAATGTCTTATAACATTTACTTGTGTTTTAAATCATTTGATTGTATTTTTTAGTTACAAGTGATCCCTGAAATAGAGTATTGTGTTTAATTCCATTTGATGTGTGTACTTGCCATGTCATTATCATTGATTATTGTATGTAACGTAGGACGGATGAGTCAGAGTGAATGTATTTAATATTTAAACATTTATTATTTCAGACAACTTACATAGCTGCAAAATGGGGAATATGTTTGCAAATTTATTTAAAGGCCTATTTGGCAAAAAAGAAATGAGAATATTGATGGTGGGTCTTGATGCTGCTGGTAAAACTACTATACTATATAAACTAAAATTAGGCGAAATTGTTACAACAATTCCAACTATTGGTAAGTTCTTACTATTCATTGTATGTATTTTTATATGGTCTTTCTAACATTTTGTTTTTAGGTGTTCATATAGGTAACTTTCTCTTTTTATCACCAATAAATTGTAATCTCTTTTTGATTTATCAATAGTATAGATAAGTTTTTTAACAAAACTTATTCCACTGTATGGTTACTTAAATTTATGTGTTAATAAATACCTTTGACTTGCTATTTAGGCTGCATAACTATGCTTCAATTAAGACTTTTTTTAAACTTCCATTATCAAACACCATTTTGTCTTTTTCTCAACACTGGCAGAGAATATAATGAACCATAATAGCTTTTGATATAAAGTTGCACAATATATATAGATCCCCATAGCTGGGTACTGGCATGTAATTTCTTTCAGAAAATGACATGTTCTTGAAATATTTTATTCTTTATAACATCAGGTACTGCTGAGCCTATGGTAAATCAACTTTTATAATAAATTATATAATTAGAATTTATAATTAACAATTTCATTGGTACTGGGGGATGAAACATGGATTACTTACATTCTGTGACACAGCATTGCTTAATCCTAGAGCTCCCAAAGCTTGTGTTTGTGGTTAATCCTTAGCTGTCCTAATTTTGTTCATTTCCTCTTGTGAGATTTATTTTATTGTATTATTCAGAGGAATGTTTTTCTGAACTTTAAGGTTCTATGTCTCATAAATCTTGCTTGTTGAACAATTCATGTGTATAGTGTGTGCTGTTTGATAAAATATGACTTTTTATGTTTTATTAGGGTTCCTTCAAAATGTTTTATATACTGTCAAATAAAAATATGTTATAAGCTCCCCATATTCATACAGATTTTCTTGACAGTCATTTATGAGATCAGATCTGTAACTACATACATGCTCGAACATCTGTTTCAATCACAAGTTGAATATAAATGGTTGTTTGTAATGTTTTATTCAAAGCAAAATATAGCTTTTATCTGTGATGGTTTCATCTGTATTGAAGACAGAAAATTTTGATAAGTTTGGGTAAAGCAATGGTTAAAAAAAGTGCATGGTATAGCTATGACTCTACTCAAGGATTTATCAATCCATGAAACCTATAGATTTGTTAAATTTTTTACACATGCACAAGTGGCACTTGTATTTATCTGCCCCATGCTGATCCGCTCGTTTTAAGCATTGGCACAGCCTAAACCAATGGCTGGCCAGGTACATCTAGCAGGCATATTTGTCAGGTGAATCTGCACATATATGGCTAGCTATTATTTGCACGGTATGTGTGTTCTATACTTAATATAATAGTTCAGAACATTTTTCTAGGTGAACCAGTGTTTATGATTCTTTTTTTATTTGAAAGCTAGTGCTTACTTATTATGTAGTCCCATAAAAGTTTGGTCAACATGTGCATCAGTAGTTTTTGAGTTATTTTTAATGATGCATAATCAATTGACTTTTACTACATTGATGATGTTCACAATGTGCACAAAACTTTAAATTTTACCAGTTGTTTAATATTCATGTAGACTATAAAAAACAGAATGAATAAGGGCAGCCCTAATATGTATTATCTTGTACTGATTCATGTATAATTTTCTTTATCGATTCTTATAAGTCCAATGCTGGATACATGCCTTTCCTGATTTCGGGAGGATTTTCTTTAATCATCATTCTAAAAAAATAAAATGGTGTTGGAAATTTGCAGTTTTAGTTTAAGATAAAATGCACTTAAATCACTCATTAAATTTGATATCAAGCTTGTTGTTTCATCATGTCAACTATGAGGCAGAGAAAAAACCAGTTATAATACTTTATGAAGACTATTTAACAATGTTAATTCTTATAGTCATGAATCATTGAAATATTACTTTTAATTTTAAATATACCTATAAAAAAAGAAGAAAGGATATTTTATTAAATATATAACTATGACTTAATATATATTTATATTTCAGGATTTAATGTTGAAACTGTAGAGTACAAAAACATCAGTTTCACTGTATGGGACGTTGGTGGCCAGGACAAAATTAGGCCACTGTGGAGGCATTACTTCCAGAACACACAGGTATTGCACTGCTATCCTGCCAAAACACACTGTATTTATTTATTTACTTACTTATCATAACGTTGCTTGATTATTTTCTCAACTGATGGCAAGTAGTGAGGTAGTTAGTTGAACTTGGTTGTAATTTAGATGTCACAAAACTAAATACAGAGCAACTAGTATTAGCTATGAGCTAAATTGCACCACTAAATCATAAACTTGATGATAATCTGAAGATCTGCACAAGCACTAACTAAGCATTACAAAAAATTATTCAATCCTACCTTGTAATCCTCCGATTTTAACGTATTCAACTCAGCTGGGCAGCGCTCGGGTAATTACAGCACATCTCGTCAGGTGTAACTCAAAACCTGAAAACTAGATTGTATAACCAGTGCATGTTGCTAGTGATGACTTATGGATCTGGATCTGCGACATGGTCCTTCACTGCTGGCCGATGCTCAAAGTCCCTCAGCGAGCTATGGAGAGGGCTATGCTTGAGGTTTTTCTGCTTGATAAACTTAGAAAGGAGGATATCAGCAATAGAACCAGTGTGACCGACATAGCCCAATGGATTAGTAAGCTGAAGTGGCAATGGGCCGGCCATATGACTCGAGGAACGGATAATCGATGGGAAAAAAAGGTTCTCAAGTGGCACAGCCTTGTACGAGTAGGCCTAGTGTAGGGCGACCCCCCACTAGATGGAGTGACGAGCTGGTAAGACATGCAGGAAGTTGATGGATGCAGGTGGCTCAGGACCGGGTTTTGTGGCATTCCTTGGGAGAAGCCTATGTTCAGCAGCGGATTTGTGAAAGGCTGTAATGATGGTGATGATTGAAATCCCCCATTTTGTAATTAGATGAAAAGTCAGGCAGGCTGTTAATGTAATTATTACATAATTTTGCTGTATACATTATGTAACAACAACATTATGAACAGTAACAATGGAATGGAGACCTGGTAAAGGTCTGGTTATCCTATGATGGAAAAGATAATGTATTTTATATAAAAATCAGTTAAATGTGATTCCCGCACACATTTCAAAATAATATTATATCCTGTGAGATATCAAAAGGACTGTTATGTTACACTCGTTGACATTATATACCTGTCTATGTGTGTCCACTGACACCTCCGGAAACTACCACAAAAAATAATGTTATATTTGTTGCCATTAGTATTTTTCTGCTTCCTCCTCAAGTAATTCTTCAATGTAATTTAATTTTAAGGATTACTATTTTCTATTTATGTTTAAATTACTTAAATGATTAAATTAACAAAAATAAATGTTATTTGTCATTTAATTTACATTTCTGTAATAATTTTTAGATAAATAACAAAAAATTCTTTAAATAAAAAGTCTTTTTTTTTTTTCAAAAATAATTATTTTCAAATAAACTGACATAAAATTTTAATAAATGTAGTATCGTCTTTAATATAAAAATTTAACATTATTAGCGCTGTTTCAGCTATGTGTGTTATATTACAGGCTTAATTATTCAAAATATCTATTACTATTCTTTATCCGGGGTAGTACTCCATGATTAAAATTATTTTTTAATAATTCTTTGAAAGAGATAGTAAATATTTTATTGTATTCACTATTTGCTCAATAACTATTCAATAGTTGTGATTATTATCATAGTAGAATAAAAAAACGAACTCAAACTAGTTAGGTTAGAAGAAGCCATTCATCTCCTTTGTGGTTATTTTTTTTTTTATAAATCACTCAGAATTCCTATTTATAAAAAAGTACTCTGTGACCTAGAAGTAGGAGCCCTTCGACCGGGCCCGGTAAATTATAAGAAATGAAATCGATTGATAATCTACTATTCAATTATAATATCACCAGTGAAATTGTAATATCACGGCTTTGACAATATACCTGCGACATATATAAAATAAAATCATAGTTATAAACATAAGTTGCAGCCTGTTATGGCATGTAATATGCATGATGATAGACTTTGGACAAAACTGCAAGACTCAAGATAAAGCATATGCTTAGAGCTCTTATGATGCGCTGTAATAATGATTATAATGTTAATTTAATTGCTAAACTACAATTTGTGGAAATGTAAAAGTGATTTAGAACTTTATTGCTTTTATTTTAGGGTCTCATCTTTGTAGTAGACAGTAATGACCGAGAGCGTATTGGCGAAGCGCGTGAAGAGCTTATGCGTATGTTAAGTGAAGATGAGTTACGAGATGCGGTACTTCTTATTTTTGCGAACAAACAGGTGAGATTCTTGTATAAACGTTTTATAACCTGCATTATTTATGTAAATACTTGTCTCTTTTCAAATTTAAACTAGCTCTAGATTTTTTTTTGTTTGGGAATACAAATAGTATTAGTATTGTTTTATACTAGACTATATTAGACTAGAAATCAAATAATCCTATTATTATTATAATCATGATTTGATCGTCAATAAGCTGCACTCTGTGACAAGGTTCTGGAGAGTACACGTTAGTCTAGAAAATCTTTCCATTTAAGCCATGGGTCTCTAATCAGGATCACAGTACCAGAAGTCTTGGAATTTTAACTTTTTCACCAGTATTTTACATCTGACATAAACAATATAATTTTATTGCTCTCTATACAAAGCCATTTTTTGGTATTTCCTATAATTGTTCCTTCCGCAATCAAGGGATGTAATGGGATGGGGTGATGAATTTTCTTACACCACCTTTATAATAATATAGAATAATAAAAAGGGGGTTTGATGAATGCTTAAAATGTTATTTTGTGTTGATCTTTTCACCAATTGTCTGTGAAGACATTTTTGAGTTACAGTTATGATGATAACCTAATAAGGCATGCGGGAAATTAAAATATAGGTCAGTATGGGCTGTAATAATGATATATAATTGAAAAACAAATAAAAAAATTAAAGTAAAGATAACAATGGAGCATACAGTCCACCTAATGACTGGTTACTAGTAAAATGGGTCTCTGGTTCGCGATACTCATTGTAAACTTAGCACTGAGTAGCATTATGCTTCTTTTTCACACCGGTATTTTGAGTTAGTGTGGCTGTTCTCGGTCGAGTCCATCTCTTCATGCTGCAGCCTTAAATACTGCAGGTATGTAATACTGGCCCTTCATCATAGAAAAAGATGCCCTTTGCAACTTCAGGCTATATGCAGGCTGATGGCCATGAGGATGTATTAGTGCATGTAGAATAGTTTTTCCCATGTTCCTATACTCAATGTAACTGTTATGCAATTAGATTGGTTATATTAATAATAATGAATAAAAATGCTTCTATTTCTTTAAGATTATAAACTTAAACAATTTAGTTTAAGATTGGTTAATGGTAAAGGTGTGGTGCACACAGGAGCCAAATGCTTAGAAGGAAGCTTGCCTAAGTCAACTTCTATTACTCTCAAGCCTATAAAAGTACACTACCGGGCACGGTTTTCTTCTTAGAGGGCTTGATGGATTAATTATAACAGTACTGGGTATAATTTATAATCTACCATGACAATAGATTGATTTGCAAACCCCAATATATATCATTCATTTGTTGGCTATTACAGTCCTCTGCTTAACATAAGCCTCACTTATGCTTAATTACATAGTTTAATGCTACAACTGTATTTTTTTAACTGTAAGATTCTGTATGTTATGATTTACTTTCCCTAATATTGGCTGCAGTTATCTTTTGGTGCTAAGTTACAAATTTAATTACTTTTTCCTTCGTTTATATCCTTAATATGTTTAAGTTATGACTCTCAAGTAATAGCAATGTGAATTGTGGTTTTGTTAAAGTATATTTTTTGTATTTGTTAGGATCTGCCAAATGCAATGAATGCAGCGGAAATAACAGACAAATTGGGCCTGCACTCATTGCGCAATCGCAACTGGTACATCCAGGCGACGTGCGCCACTTCAGGTGACGGACTGTACGAGGGTCTCGACTGGCTCTCCAATCAGCTGAAGAACGCCAACCGCTAACCACATGTGCGCTATCAACTCACAGACAAATCTGATTATTGAAAGAGACTATGGTTTAAGATATGTTAACTTTATTTGCTATGAATGAATACAATGTATTATGTGCGAACTCATATGTTATGATGCGTCACCCGGTGACCGAGCTCGCATCGCATTCTCGCTGAACTTCTGCGTATTTTGAAATTAACGATTATCTTATAACATTCACTTTAAATTCTATGCATTATAATAATATAAAATTATTTATATCAGTGTACACATTAACCAGGGGTCATGCTGTACTTACTGCTGTTGTGAAATCCACATTTGGGATGCGTTGTTTGTTCGATCTCTGATGACGTGGAACAAAAAAAAAATAGCGCGTGAAGTTCTGTAAAATTACAATTTTCCTTTGTAACTATCACTAAAGTAAAACAGTGGATTGTTGTACACTATAGAGTGATCGTGCATTGTGATGTGGATAGGTTTGTAGCTGACTTGTGATACAAAGAATCACAGCATAACATGTTTTATATGTATACTATAATGTGGAATAAGTTGTCGTAATAAAGTATTTAAAGTTAATTCACATATACGACTTTAATTCATTATTTTCTATTACTATATTAGTGAGTGGCAGTGACCAATAGGCAGATAGTTTGCTTTGGTGTTTCCTTTGTGGTATGAAATTTAAAAAGCCTGAAAATTTAAAGCCTTTCGTCTATTACATGTGGTAAGGATCTAGTGTCATTTGGTATGCTCAATGTTGTGCTTTATGGGCATGTGCCTTGTGTGATATGCCTCATTTGGTCCACACTGAGTGGTATGCTTCTTGGGATTTGGCTTTTACGTTACGCCTTGAGTTGACACTGGGAGAGTAGGAGGCAATAGGTTATATGCTTCTTGGGATGACCTTCATCGGCTGAAACCTATTCACATCGCTCTGAAATTTGTGTAGCAGTATCTGCAGCCCTCCATTTTGGATTGTATGGTCACTTATTAAAATTCTGTGCATATATTTCATTTATTATTCGGATGACTTATTGTATGATGATAGTTTATTTTTATTGAAGTTAATTAGGTAGTGTAAGCTGTTATATGTTTTACATTAGAAAAACAATTCATCGGATTATTCTTCCTTCATCGAATGGCGGCTTGTTGTGATGGACCTGCATTTATAGTTGATTTCCCATAATGGACCGACATTTAGTTTTAGGTATTGTAATATGTATTGACAACCATGGTATCTGTTTGGGAAGTGTTTCTTTCTACAGGGAAACTGCTCAGGACTCACAGGTTCTTTGGTCATACACAATTAGTTATAAATTAGCATTTTTATAATAATTTAGAAGAAATTGTTGAGACACAATTAAAACATTATGTGGTAAGTGCGATGGATAGTTTTTTTTAATTTCATGGAAATCAAGGAGATTAAATGAAAAAGCGAAATGTGACATTCCGGTTTGTCTTATGCTGTATTATGGAATAAAATATCCTCACCAATTTTGGGTTTTTTTCTGAACAAAACACCTTTTTGATTCTACAATCCATATGCTGAATTTATTGATAGCTGACGCAGACAAAACTTATGTTAAATTAGCTTCTTTATTCGGATTTCTCCAAATCTGTTTATTCTCTGGATTAACAATGCGATAGGAAGAGATTTTAGGATTATTATTTTATTAATAATATATTAGATATTGAAGGATTATTGCTGAAAAAAAGTTTGCGAAACTCGCTGGGAGAGAGTTTCTAGCCTTTCTGCTGTTCCTGTATTGTTCTATGAATCTTCATAATGAAACAAATTACCCAGTTGCAGCATCAGAAGTTTTGTCGCTCTATATTTTTTAACACTCTGCAGCATAATTGTTTAATAAAAGTTGTCAAACAAAATTATTTACTGTAATTTTTTTTCATCTATATAACTTGTCACCGCAGCAGTGCAAGCAGTGACGTTTTTTTATATAGAAGTGAGCAAGCAAGCATGCGGCACACCTGATGGTGACTACCACCACCTATGGACAACTAACACCAGGAAAATAGCAGCTGCGTTGCCGGCCTTTTAGGTAGAAGTAAGCTCTTTTCTTGAAGGTCCCTAAGTCGTATCGATCCGGGAAAGTCTCCGGCGGTAAACAATTCCTCATATAGGTCATACAGGGAAGAAAACTCTTAGTAAAATGCACAATGGTTGACCACTAAACATCCAGATGGTATAAGTGGTATCGTGAGTTCCGTCACGATGTGCGTTTGTGAATTTTGGCGGCTGGAATTATTCCGAGCATTCAGAGCACTCCCTGTGATAAATGCGATAAAAATATAAAGGAGTAAAACATCCATTCGCAAAGTCAGTAATCAATCAAAAAGAACTCTGTCGTCGACGATTCGTGCCACTCTGCACTGAATGCGGTCAAGTGGATGAATCTGGGCCTGAAGTGCCCCGGACCAAAGATGAGAACAGTTATTCCATGTGAGGCCGAACTTGCACCTTGTAAAGTTACAAGCGATGTGCCACCATGAAATACTGTCTATATTCTATCTATACTATGCTGAGCACAGCATAGTGAGACAGTATTTTTAGAGGCCAACTTAGCCTTTCCTTCTAAGTGACGACGAAACTGCACATTATTCGATACGTCGATGATTCGGATTTCAATGCTAGCTGAGGCAACAAGGGGAGTGCCCTGAAATTGAAGAGATAAGCCAAAGGGGTTCTTTTTAGCGGTAAACGTGCAAACCTGTGTAATCTGAGGGTTGTTAAGCACAACAGAGTAGTGCGAGCGGAATGGATAATATTTTTTAACGCAAAAGAGCAGAACAAATACTAAGTCATGAGCGCCAAGAACTGTGCTTGCCCCGTAGATAGATACACCTTTATTTGGTAGGTCATACTAAAAGATTTTTAAAAGTAGTTTTGACAGTCCTCTCTTGATGTTAACCTAACGCTACCCAAATAATTCTGAAGAGACTGAAATAGATGAAAATCTGAGGTTCAAGGTCAGGACTATATGGTGAATGCATTAACACTTCCCAACCAAGCTCTCAATATTTGCTGAGTGGCCAAAGATGTGTGTGGTCTGGCGTTATCATGATGAAAGGTCACTCCTCTGTTGATCAATTTCGGCCCGTTTTTTTCTCAATTTATTTTTTGATTCTCATTAGTTGTTGGGAGTAGGAATCCGAATCGATGGTTTTGACCATCGGTAAAAGCTCATAATAAACAATGCCCTTCCGATCCCACCATACACACCATCACCTTATTACTTGTTAACCCTTCAATCCCCATAAAATCCCATGCAGTAGCATGCGTCCGTCAAATCCAGAGCGATCGCATGCGACCGCATCCACCCACTTTATACCATTAAAACTTATATTTAGAGACTACTTTTCTATGAAGAAGTTTGGCATTACACAATCTATACAAAATTCTCTATCCTGTGGTCTAAACAAAAGACAGGTTTTACTTCATTACAAAAAGACTATTGTATTTTTGATAACAAAAACCTGGTAAATACCAAGCGGATGTCGGCAGTGTGAAAATCACTTATTTACTCGAAATTATTTACTTAAAAAGATAAATTATATTCACACAAACACTTTCATACCAATTTTATAATAAAACACTATACTAAAACACTAGAAAAATCCAAAAATCAACAACAAAACAATAACATTCACACGAAAATGGCATACTATGGAGTGTAGAGGTACAACACTCCATATGGCGTACGTAATGAACGTAGATTATAAATGAATAACCATAGAGTAAGTGACTTTTTATTGCACTAGAGCATAGACAATTTCATATTGAACTTATTATGCCAAACTTCTTCATAGAAAAGTAGTCTCTAACTATAAGTATTTATGGGTTAAAGTGCTGTGGGTGGGTGCGGCCGAATTCGGTCGCTTGGTATGTGACGGAATATCGCCGCGACCGAATGCGGCCGCTTGGGAGTTGAGAGGTTAATCCGGGTTTCGCTACAATCTGTAGAGCTTGACTACTCCTTGACCATGATCTTTTATTCATATTCTTCTCGTAGGTGATCATCACAAGTGATTAAGCTTTTCAAAAATGGTTCGGTTTTATTACGATTCAATAGAGAATCGTAAATAAGTATATCGATAATAAATATCGAGTTTTTTTGTAAAGCCAGACTTTTTCAAATGGATTAAAACTGTTTAGTGGTTAATTCGCAATTTCTGATCTATGTCGTAACTACTTATATGCATATCTCGCTCCATTTTCAAAAATGGCATCGACTTTATCCTCATGAGGGCGACCAGATCGAGCTGCATCTTTGACATCAAAATCTCCAGATCAAAAACGCTTGAACCATCTTTGTGCTACTGTTGCTGACATTGCATTGGGTCCGTAAACGTCACAAATTTTTACGCGGCTTGAGTGGCTTTTTTCCCTTTTTGGTAATAAAACCTCAGAATGTATCGAATTTCTTCGTTAGATTCGGCGGACAGAAAAACAGTTTAAAAATGGCGGTAAAGTGTTTATTTTTCTATATCTTAATATACTAAATATATTGATATTGAAACCAGTCAGATACGAATAGTACAACCAAAGAGATTTTTCTTCAATTTTATACAAACAAAATACGAATAAACTTTTCCCCCGACCTGTTATTTATAATCACGAATAAGCAACTATATAGTATAGAAACACTAAGGTTATATATATATATATATATATATATATATATATTCAATTATGTGCGAGCAGCTATGCAGGTCTAGGGAAAGAGACCAATATCACTGCGACCTAGAAGATCTATTGTGATCGCTGCTATGGCTATAGTTCACGGCTAAGCCCTATGTCTTCAATGAATAGGAGTTGCTTAGCCATGAGCAATTTCACTTCTTCTGGGGGGAGTACATAGTTTCCATGATGAGTGTTACGTTTGCGCATTAAGGGTCCGTAACCAGTTAGGATGTGTAGAGCTGTAGAGGCGTTTCTTCCGTTATGGAACAGAACCGACACATCCTTGAGTTGATTAGTCTCAGGATGGACATGT